CCTATGTACTACGGGTGTGCCTCCTGAGCCTGCCGAAGGGAGGCAGGGGCTGCAGCTGCAGCTCCTGCTCAAACTCGTGAGGAACAGGCTATTTCAGGCCTGTTCCGCATCCCTGTTTACGTGCCTGAGTCTTAGGAGCAGGTCGAAACAATGAGGGCCTGAAAATGGCCCTCCGTTTCAGGCTGAAAACTTTGAGTCTGAAAAGACCCAGAAATAGGCTGAAACGGGGTAGGGCCTGCATGCCCTCGTTTTTCATCTTTCAGGCTGAAACGAACGGGAACTGTAAGCCCTAAGTTTTAGGCTTTTAGGCTGAATGTCCGGAACGGGCCATGCAGGGCCCGTGTGGCTACGCAGTATGCCACACCCCCCCCTCCTTGAAGAACCGAGCTTACCTGCGAGGGCGAAGCTGTCTGTCTGAGGGAGGGACCACAGTCCGGGTGGGAGGGGCTGGTCGTGAAGCTTCCTGAGCTAACCTGCGCTTTTCATAATGCGCGTAGATCAGCGGTGCGGATGCTTTCAAATTTGTGCGTGAAATCCACCGAGTGTCATCGCGATCGCATGCTTCGAATGTGACTTTGTACCGCCGCGGCTTGCTGCCGTACTTGCGATCGGAGATGACGCGGTCAACTTCCTGATGGCCATCCATAGAGGGACGGTCCTGCGATCGTCGGTCCGGAAAGTCGTCGCTCTTGGTTGGCGTGTATGTTGCCAGCTTCGAGGCGTGGAAGACCGGATGGACCGTCAGATGCTCTGGAATGTTGATCATAAATGAAGGGCCATCGGGCTCATCGCTCGCGGCTGCTGTCACAGACCAAGGTCCAAACCACTTGGGAAGCAGTTTGCGTGAAACATCCTGTTCCAGTGCAAACTCTTCCGCGGAGACCCAAACCAKATCACCGGCGCGGATGGGACATGGTACGCGACGCCTGTTGGCTTGCTGCTGCATGCGGACTTGAGCCTTGTGCATATTTGCGCGGGCTTGAGTCAGCAATTCGCTGTACTTCCGGACGGAAGTGGGAGAGCAGGCAGTGTCGATGTCGGCTGGTCGAGGAAGGAGAAGGTCTGCGAAGATCCGGCCTTTCCGTCCACCGTGGTGCAACTCGAATGGAGTCACGCCAATCGCCGGATGCACCGAAGTGTTGTAGGCGAACTTGATGTCGGGGAGGCGGTCAACCCAATCTTTCTGGTCCGGACGGATGAGCGTACGAAGCATCATTTGAGCGGTTTGATGTGCCCGCTCCGTCTGCCTGTTTGTCTGAGGATGTCGAGCCAAACTTGGTTTCATTGTTGTGCCGGACTCCTGCATGAGAACAGTCCAAAACGCCAACATGAAACGAGTGTCGCGGTCGCTGACAATGTCTTCTGGTACGCCGTGGCCACAAATCCAATCAGTATGCAGGAGGCGTGCCAGCTCGGGAGCCGTGGAGTAGTACGTGCAAGGGAGAAAATGCGCGTACTTACTCAATCGGTCCACAACCGTGAGGATGCCGTCGTGCCCGAGCCGGTCGCGAGGAAACGGACCGGTGACGTCCATGGCAATGGAGAGACCGGATTCCCGTGGGATAGGCATCGGGTGTAACTCGCCGTAGGGATTGTGGTTGTCGGGCTTGTTGCGTCGGTAAACTTCGCAAGAGTCGCAATACCGAGTAACGTCGGTAATGAGGTCGGGCCATCGGAATCGCTGTCGAAGCCGTGCAATAGTGCGGTTGACTCCGAAATGGCCGGCGAGTCGTGAATCATGATACTCGCCGAGGAGGCGAGTCCGAAGACGATGGTCGTGTGGTACACATAGTAAGTCCTTGCCTCTCGAGTGGAGGAGCAAGTACCCGTCGGCAATGCGGTAATCGCTGGTCGGCGGGTGATAGAGCGTGCCGAAGTCCGGATCAGACTTATATGCCCGGATGAAGTGTCGCTGAAGCTCCTCGTCGAATGCGAAGGCATGATGTGACATCGCGCAAAGATCAGGTCTTCGCGAGAGTGCATCTGCTGCGCGATTGGAGAGGCCGGGGACATGTTTCGGTGTGAAGTCAAATTGGTCGATGAAGTACATCCATCGTCCGATMGTGCTGCTCACCGTGTCCTGCGTCTTGTAGTAGGTCAATGGATTGTTGTCTGTGACCCATGTGAACCTACGACGCCCAAGGAGGAAGTGTCGTCAGCGTTGGAGAGCCATCACGAATGCGAGCAGCTCCTTCTTCCTTGGATCATCAAGCGAGTTGATGGGAGGCACTTTGTGGCTGAAATACTCCACAGGGTGCCAGTCGTCGCCGTCGTGTTGTTCCAAGACTGCCCCAATGCCATAGCCGGAAGCGTCCGTAGTCACTCGCGTCGGCAGGGTGGGGTCATAGATGCTAAGGACGGGTGCCATGAGCATAGCCGTCTTAAGTGCTTGGAATGACCGGCGTGCGTCGTCATCGAATACGAATGGCACCTTTGGCGAYTGTAACCTCGTCATAGGTGCAKCAATCCTGGAGTATCCGGTGATGAATCGCTGATAGTAGCCCGCCAACCCCATGAATGAACGAACGTCCGTGGTGTTGGTGGGCTCAGGCCATACTCGTAGGGCCTCGATCTTGTCCGCAAGCGGACGGATGCCTTGCGGCGTCACATAGTGTCCCAAGTACTCCAGCTCCTGCTGTGCGAACTCGCACGTGTCGCGGTTTGCTTTGTACTTGGTCTGTCGTAGCCGCTCCAAAACGGTGCGCAAGTGTTCCACATGCTCGTCCAGACTCCGACTGTGAACCAGAATATCGTCGAGGTAGATAAGTACGAAACGATCCAGCATGTGTCGGAACTCCGTCGTCATAGCCGCTTGGAAAGTGGCTAGGGCATTCGTAAGGCCAAATGGCATGAGCAGCCATTCGAAATGCCCATACCGTGTCTTGAACGCGGTCTTGTAGCGATCCTCCTTGCAAATCTCGAGTTGGTGGTACCCTGACTTGAGATCCAGTTTAGAGAAGAACTGGGCGCCGCCCAATCGCTCGAGAAGGTCGTCGATGCGTGGGAGAGGGCCGACGTTCCTGATCGTCTGCGTGTTGAGCTTGCGATAATCGATGCACAACCGCAGGTCCTTGTTCTTCTTCCGGACGAAGAGAACAGGAGCACCGTATGGCGATGAGCTAGGCCGAATCCAGCCTTTCTCTAGAAGGTCGTCGAGTTGTGCCCGAAGCACACTTAACTCTTCCTCGCTCATTCGGTAGATGCAACCGCGCGGAGGTATGGCCCCGTCCTCGAGGATGATCTCATGGCGGATGGGTCGATCCGGTACTACTCCGTGCGGGCCTTCGAACACGTCGCTGTAGGCGTCGAGAAGTTCGGTGATGCATGGATTCAAAGGTGAGTCCGTCGATGAAGCGTCATGGGGTGGGAGGGCGTGGAGAAAACACACCCCCATCTCCTCGATGTCGTCTCTGATGATGGAGGCTCGCATGCTTGCGGCGGATACCACGTGGGAGCTGATTGAAGGATGAGGAAGAGGCACCGTGCATGGAACTAATACTCCGTTCCGGTCACGAACGTGAACGGTGCGGTTGAAGAAGTTCACCGGGTGATCCTTGCTTCGCAGCCATGACATGCCCAAGATCATGTCGAATTTGGTGTCCAGAATGTCGAAGGACACCGCCTCACTTGCGTGAGGGGCAAAGTACACTGGGACGGCGTCAATGCACCGGTCGATGGACTTGTGCGTATGACCGTCTGCCAGGGTGACTTGCGTAGGCTGGGACTTCCTCTGGACACGTGGGCCAAGGTCGGCGCGTACCATGAAGTCCTGGCTGATGTAGTTGTGAGATGCTCCGCAATCGATCAAGGCACTGCAGGTCGCCTCTCCGATCTGAATGCGTATGTATAGCAATGGTGCGTCGATGTCGTCGTACCGTTGCGTCTTGAACTCGCGGTCGATCTTCGCGATGAAAGCGTGAAGGTCGACAACCTCTGCTCCGGTGTCCATCAACGGAGCTGGCACTGCAGTATGCAAGTAGTCCCGCATTGTGCCATAAGCTCGTTGCAATGCGGTTTCGGCAATCGTCCGGTCGAGGGAACGGGCATCCACTAGAAATCCGTGAACGTCAATCGGTCGAGCTCATCAAGTCTTGACCATGACGTCGAATCCCTGGCGATAGATTGCGACGAAGCTGCCCAATCGGTTGCCGATGGTGATGAAACCGTGCATGCGATGGACTGTTGCACGTGGAGTGGTTGGTCCAGCGGTGGAACCAAGTGGACAGCATAATCCTAGTAAGTATACCGAGGACTTGCGACATTCGCATCCTCCCCAGATGTGCAGGAGGCCGCTAGCAAGGCGGCCGAATCTGGAGGAGTGGAAGGTGGAGTCGCCTCACCTTCCGCGAAGCTCTGTTTCCCGAGCTGAGGCGGGGTCGCACATCCTCCTTACCATGATCCTGGCACAGGGAGGTCTTGTGCTTGGTGCTGTTGCACCAATAGCAGCTGCCGTAGCGGCCGCGGACTTTGTACTCCGCCTCGGTCAAGCCAAACTTGACCCATGGAAACTGGCCTGGCTGTCCATTTCCGGCCTGCGATGCGGATTTCGCCTTCCCTTGTTGGTGCTTCACGGCTGGACAGCAGCCACCTGATCTCCGTCACTTGATGCTGGAGTGGCTGCTGGGTTATCCCCATTGTCCTGCTGGACTGCAGCGAAGTGCTGTTGTCGTGGACCAGTTCGTACCTTCTCCACATAGGTCGGCTGCCATGATGTTGATTTCTCGTGTGCAGCTGACCTGTTGGTCTTGATGATCTCTTGCGCCTTGTCAATAATCTCGACGAAGGTGGTGTACTGCTCGCGATCACCAAGAGCCTGGCTCAATGCAGCACAGGACCTGTTGTAGAACTCACGCCTGAGATGAGTGAAAGGCAGGTCCAGACTGGGCACTGTCGCAATCTTCTGCCACTCTGTGAGCCAATCTCGTGTTGCAGTGTTGCCCTGTGACATGGTGAACAAACGGTTGATGGCGAGTGCCGGCGCGTCGTCGACGATGAACCGCTTCTTCCACAGCCGTGCCAGTTCTTCCCATGTGATCTTGTCCTTGAGGTCCGGTACGTCGACGCCGTGGGAGGTTGCCAGGTGGGTCAACCAGGTCTGGCATCCGCCCTTTGAGTTCAGGAACAGGGCGCCGATGTACTTGTGCTTAGCGACAGGCAGAATCCTGAGTTGCGTCGTGAATGCCTCCCACCAGAGGGTCGGATCCTGCTGCGTGTAGTCGTCGAACTTTTCCAGTTGGAAAGTTGGCATCTTCTGATTGCCATCTGCGTTCGTCGACTGCAGCTGTTGGACCTCGGTCTTCAAGGTATGCAGCTGAGTGCTGATCGTGGACGGCGCAGCGAAGGTGTTAATGTCGCCGAGCATTGTCAGGATGTGGTCAACGCGTTCCTCCAGTTGGCGGCTAGAGGGTGCACTGCTGGAAGCCCCAGCAGTTGGTCCTGGTACATCCTGTTCCAGGTCCAGCAATCGGGCATTGAGTGCCCGAGTTGCATCCTCGTGGCTCTGCACTTTGCGGCGGAGCGTCGCCAACTCCTGATGCTGTTGCGTCAGGTCCTGGTACTGTCTCTCCAACTCTGACCGTTGGTAGGTGCAAGCATACAGCAACCGTGTCACGAGTTTGGAGAGGAACTCCTTATGCTGCTCTTCCGGTGTTGCCTCGTCGCTGTTCGGTTCAAAATGCCAGAACGTTAGTCTGTCGATGCTTGTGGCTTCATGCCGCTGTAGCAGATCCTGGGCTTCCTTGCGGCGAGCCTGGGAATCTGCGTCTGCATCGGCCTGTAGCCGCAGCTTTTCTGCTGCTGCTGCCTCTTCAGCCTGTACGCGGGCAGCCTTGACTGCCAGCATGCGTTGTTCCTCAGCCTCTATCTGAGCCAGGCAACGCTGCTTGTAGGCGGCAATGGTCTCATTGGCCAGTTGGCCTGGCAGGCCCGTCATGTTGCTGACGTGGCACTGYTGMTTACGTGGCACTGCTGATGTGGCACTGCTGAYGTGGCACTGTGTCTGACGTGGYACTGCTGACRTGGCACTGTGTCGGACGTCACTGCTGACGTGGCACTGTGTCTGACATGGCACTGCTGTCGTGGCACTATGTCTGACATGGCAATGTGACCTGGCACTGCTGATCTGGCACTGTGACGTGGCACTGCTGACGTGGCACTGCTGACGTGGCACTGTACCGAAATGGGATGCATGCAAGGGGTGGGTGGGAGGGAAAATGTAGGTAGGTAACCAACCCAACAAGACTTTTCCTCCGGCCCTAATCAACAGATAAAATAAAAAAATAAAAAATAAAAGAGGACTACTTCCTTTTTTTT